AATATTCCCAAACAAGGCCAGAATGATAAATTTCATAATCCATATAATGGGCTTAACTACACCTAATACCGGCCCATAAGGCCCAAGATATCTGATATTTTACACCACCACTTGGAGAGTGTCACAAAATAAATACTAGAGATAGGGCAGAGCAGAGAAGCAAAGAAAGGCGTGGAAGGTTACAAAGCCTTTCAAAAAAACTCTCTCACCTTATCTCTTCACTCTTCTCCCTCTCCAACAAAAATGGCGTCGACGGTGGGAGTTCCATCTCTTTACCAGGTTCCTCACCTGGAATTCTCCAAAACCAACTCCAAGAAGAGGTCTACTTGCTTACCTCTCTCTCTCAACAAACCTTTCCTCTCTCCCTTCTCTCTCCGTACAACTCGTCTTATCCACTCCTCCTCTTCCTCCTCTCTCCTCATCCCTTCCGCCGTCGCTACTCCCAACTCCGTTCTCAGCGAGGAAGCTTTCAAAAGCCTCGGCCTTTCCGACGAATTCGACCTCGACGGCGACTCCTCCTCCCCCTCCTCCGACGATGCTGAAGAGCTCGCTATCTCGAAACTCGGTTTGCCTCAGCGTCTCGGTGAGTCTCTGGAGAAGCGTGGTATCACTCACCTCTTCCCCATTCAGGTTTAAAGTCTCTTCCTTTCAATCTCATAAACTGTTCAAAAGTCTTATCCTTTATTATGTTCATGATAAGGTCTATTTGTATCTGAAAACTGTTTAAAGTCTTATCCTTTATCTGTATTGTAACATACTGTTTGCTTTGTGTTGTCTGAAGAGGGCTGTGTTGGTTCCTGCACTGCAAGGACGTGACATCATAGCTCGTGCTAAGACAGGAACTGGAAAGACTTTAGCTTTCGGTATCCCTATTATCAAACGTCTCACTGAACAAGCTGGAGACTACTCTGCTTTCAGGTTTTGTTATTGTTAACTTTACATCTCTGTGTGCATTGTTTTGTGTTCTAAATGTTTTCTAAATGATATGTGTTATAGGAAGCCTGGTCGTCTTGCTAAGTTCCTTGTCCTTGCGCCTACGCGAGAGCTGGCTAAGCAAGTGGAGAAGGAGATTAAGGAGTCTGCGCCTTACTTGAGCACTGTTTGTGTGTATGGTGGTGTCTCTTATACCATTCAGCAGAATGCTCTCACTCGTGGTGTTGATGTTGTTGTTGGAACTCCTGGAAGAATCATTGATTTGATTGAAGGAAGGAGTCTTAAGTTGGGTGAAGTTGAGTACTTGGTACTTGATGAAGCTGACCAGATGCTTGCTGTTGGGTTTGAGGAGGCTGTGGAGTCGATTCTTGAGAATCTCCCACAGAAGAGGCAGAGCATGCTTTTCTCAGCGACTATGCCTACTTGGGTGAAGAAGTTGGCCAGGAAGTACCTTGACAATCCCTTGAACATCGATCTGGTAAGCTTGTTTCATTGGTTCTTCTCGTTACTAGATTGCACTCAGATGCTTAAGGCTATCGTCTTGTTTGTTTTTACTGGATTGGCAGGTTGGAGACCAAGATGAGAAGCTTGCGGAAGGGATCAAGCTCTATGCAATCTCAGCCACATCGACATCAAAACGCACTATTCTTAGCGACCTTATAACAGTATATCTCAGTTTATAGTTTGACTTTTCCTAAACATGATTGATTCGTCTCTTTAGCTCTATATTTTGATTATTTCAATTTTCAAACTTGAAGGTGTATGCGAAGGGTGGCAAGACCATTGTTTTTACTCAAACAAAAAGAGATGCAGACGAGGTCTCTCTAGCTTTGTCAAACAGTATAGCTTCTGAAGCACTTCATGGAGATATCTCTCAGCATCAGAGGGAGAGAACACTCAATGGTTTCCGCCAAGGGAAGTTCACTGTACTAGTTGCCACTGATGTTGCATCTCGTGGACTTGACATCCCGAACGTCGATCTTGTAAGTTTTCAATGTTTCAGTAGATAGTTTATCTATCCTCTTTTATGTCATCTTTATCTGTTTGTTCTGACATTTTCTTTTACAGGTTATCCACTATGAACTTCCTAATGACCCAGAGACATTTGTGCACCGTTCTGGTCGTACTGGGCGTGCAGGGAAAGAAGGCTCTGCCATTCTCATGCACAGCAGCAGCCAAAAGAGAACCGTGAGGTCTCTCGAGCGTGATGTAGGGTGCAGATTTGAGTTTATTAGCCCACCAACAGTTGGAGACTTGTTGGAAGCTTCAGCAGACCATGTGGTGGCCACTCTAAACGGTGTTCACCCTGAGTCTATTAAGTTCTTCTCAGCAACTGCTCAGAAACTATTTGAGGAGAAAGGAACAGATGCTCTAGCTGCAGCTCTAGCTCACCTGAGTGGCTTCTCTCAGCCACCTTCATCTAGATCTCTCCTCAGTCATGAGCAGGTTTAATTTTCAGTTATACTTAAGTTTCATGAAAACAAATGATAGGTCATTTACATTTTAGATTGCTTCTTTAGAAACCAGTAAACTTCAACATCCATTAAATACTTAATAGCAACTCTTTAAAGTCCTCTAGATAGATTGATAATCCTACAATCATGAACTGAAGTTAAAATTTTGGACTGCAGGGATGGGTGACTTTGCAGTTGATACGAGATCCAACAAACTCTAGAGGCTTCCTGTCTGCAAGGTCTGTGACTGGTTTTCTTTCCGATGTTTACCGTCCAGCTGCAGATCGAGTTGGAAAAATCTTCATGATCGCAGATGACAGGGTCAGTCTCATTAAAATAGTCATCATATCAGCAGTATCTTTGAAACTATCTTAGAGATCTCTGATTCTGCCAATGTATCAGGTGCAAGGAGCTGTTTTTGATCTACCAGAGGACATCGCGAAAGAGCTGCTAGAGCAAGAAGTGCCAGAAGGAAACAGTGTATCCTTGATAACAAAGGTATTCATCCTGGCTTTACTCTTGTGATACAACATAACATATACAGACTAAGATCCTTTTTGACTAACAACACTTGGCATCTTCTGTAGTTGCCTCCGCTGCAAGATGATGGACCGTCTAGTGACAACTATGGGCGGTTCTCTAGCAGAGACAGGATGCCTAGAGGCGGAGGAGGAGGCTCTAGAGGGTCAAGATTTGGCGGTAGAGGAGGATCATCACGAGGACGTGATAGTTGGGGAGGTGATGATGACAGAAGAAGTAGAAGCAGTGGTGGTGGAGGGAGCAGCTGGTCCCGTGGTGGTGGTGGTGGCTCCAGAGGAAGTTCTGATGATTGGTTGATTGGCGGCGGTAGTGACAGACGTTCATCAAGCAGCAGAGCTCCTTCCAGGGAGAGGTGGGTTTTTAAAGCTTCAACAAATCTATATCAAAATCTGCTCACTTGCCTATGAAAACTGATTGATCTGATGTCTGTAAAACAGGAGTTTTGGAGGTGCTTGCTTCAATTGTGGAAGTTCTGGACACAGGGCAGCAGATTGTCCTGACAAGAGAGGGTTTTAAAGTGCTCTGTTCTTGAGACAGAGAGAGAAATCCTTGTCCTTTTTTGGTGTTCTTAATGTGAATCCTTTTGTGCTTGCTTCAAACTGTTTGTTTCAGACGGTGCAGAATGCATTCATGGAGGATGTATACTTCAGACAAGGGTTTAACTATAAGCATAGTGCAGAAAGTTAAGTAAAGGAGAAGGTTTTCCTCAATTGGCATTTTCAGAGATTGCTTAAGAAACAAGGGAAAGCTGATGGATCTTTTTTGTTTTTAGGTTATTATATAATGATCAGATTCCATGTTTCTGAGTTTTGTATGATTTTAAATGGTTAGACAGTCTATTTACAGTACTCCCCCTTTGTTTTTGTACGTTTCTATTATTATATGTGAATCGTTTATCACATGTATTTGACAGAATGATCTATGTCATTATAATAGATGTTTATACATATGCTGCAAATCATTAGATTTAAATAGACCTTATCACACTAATCACATTTGATGATAGCTCTCGATTCTATCCTTCATGATAAAACTCATATAGATGACAGTGTTAGCATTTAGCTAATTCGATATAAGATAGAAAATTAGACGGTGGAGGAAGGCGATGAAGATGTAGTTGGTTTAGAAGGTCGTTGTGGGAGACCACATATCGTCAAACAATCTTGGTAACAAGGTTTGTTTTGTTTTCCACATTCTATGGAACAGTTTCTGAAACACTCGAACTTTGGGTTTTGCGTTGTCTTGCCCTCATCAGCATTGCATGCTTGTAATACACATGCCATCATCACCAATGCCATCACCATACACACTTTTCCCGCCATTTTCTCTTGCAAAGTTTCTTGTATTCAAAACAAAGATTATCAGACTACTGTGTTTATTGTTTGATAGACATGAGATGTGTATACAGGTTTTATATACTGAGTTTTTGCCTCTATATAGAGTAATTTTTTGTTATTTGTTTGTGTTGTTTGCTATGTTTAGGTTGGTTTGACTTGAATAAAAGTTAGCTATTTCTGTCTGGTTTAACTTGTGTAGGATAACTCTTTGTTTTAGAAATACATCATCATTGTTTGTTTCTTTTTGCCATTTAGTGATTTGAAAATATGAAAATGTATGAGTTATATAGTTCACTATCATTAATAAAACTTAAATCCAACCACAATCTGAGAGAACAACTAGAAAAAGTAACCAGAGCACTGAGATTCCATTAATCTTAGTATATATTGTAAAAAGTCCCATGAATTTGGTTTATGAAATTACAGAGAGAAAAAAAAAGAAATTACAGAAAGCCAATCACAAATCCCATCAAGTACAAAGAAACAAAACAAAAATGATATTAATAGGTAAAAGGTGTATAGTAATAATAACAGTAATCATATCATATATTTGTATAGAAAAAAATAAGGCCAAGCAGAGACTTCCCGGTAAAGATGCAACCAGCCAGCTACCTGCAAATCTTTTCAAGAAAGCAGACATTAATAATCATCACATACATACATGTCAGAGATGCTTAGAGAACTAGATACCATATATAATAAATGCTATAACAAAGCATCAGCTTCCAAAGCCCTTTATTCCAGATTCTCAAGTTACCTTTTTAGACCAGAACTTGAGTTGAATTTGAAAAGTAAATGAACATACCTGATCAGTTTATCCATGTCTTTACGATGCTGCAGCCTAGGCTTCAACCTTAAATAAGACAATTCACAGAATTGTTTAATATAAGATCTCTACCAATAAAATAGTGGATTCATAGCTGCAGCTACTTGGCCTCTATAGCTTATTACCGTGCCAAGCTATTTGACACTGCTCTATTCATTAACGAAGTTGCGAAGAAAAAAAGAAAGTTGGATCATCAAAGTTTATGCAAATGCATTATTTATCATCTTTTACAGCACAGTCATGATGAATTTATGATTCAGACCGGCAAACTTTAGTTAGTTACAAGCTTCTACATTACAGTACAACTTATGTGATTCCTATGAGGAATCTTTTATTTCCTTTTTGAATACTAGAGGTTTAGAGAATCACACAAGTATTGTGTTTTACCTTCTCCGCTTCAGGAGTAAAGACTGCCTTCACCTCCTGAAACACATCTTCAATGGGCTTTGCGGCATGAATCTGAAGAAAACAACAAAACTTTGTTACAGCTTACACTTGCTGGACCGTAATGAGACTCAAAACAAGATTTTTACCTTCCTAACTTTCCCCTTAGCTTCGTAGTACTGAATCACTGGTAAGCTAGATTCAAGAAACACCTTGAAACGCTTCCTTATAGTCTCAATATTGTCATCCTCTCTCCCCTTCAATAGAGGCAACAATCAATATATCAATGGAACAAGAGATTAGACAGAGCAAAGTTACAGAGACTTTTCATATCATACTAACCTGGTTTCGGCCTAATAGGCGCCTCTCCATCTCTTCCTCAGGACAATCAAAGAACAAGACAAACTTGGGTTCAATCTCAGTCTACAAAAATCATCAAACACATGTCATTAAGCAAATTGTATTGCCAAAAGAAAGAAACTTTTAATGTTACTTACAACTTTTTCAAATGCTGCTCGGTTTTCCTCATTGCGAGGGAAACCATCAATGAGGAACTTGTCATTCCCATTATCCTGAATTGCTTTCTGCAGAAGCTTGATTGTAACCTCAGATGGTACAATCTTCCCTTCTTTAATCATATTCTGGATCATAGTTCTGCACAAACCATTTAAAGGGAAAAACAATTACATAAACCAAGTCCAACCACCTACAATAAACGACCTAGAGAAGGATAATGCTTTTGAGGGCGTACCCATTTTCAGAGCCAGATTTAATTTCAGCTCTAAGAAGGTCTCCAGCACTCAGATGTGTGTAACCAAAATGTTCAACGATATAGGCACACTGTGTACCTTTCCCACTTCCTGGACCACCTATACAACATACACAGGGAACAAGCTCAGAAGTTGTACAATAAACCGACCTAATAGCACATCCCATGGATCATAAGGACAACGCAATCAACCGCGTTAAGAAGACCACAAGTATGAAGGCTGAGAAGTAACGGTTTTTAACAAAGACAAATAAGGGACATGATGAACTTACCAAGGACAAATATAACTGTGGGTTTCTTGGCACTTGCGGTTCCATTTACACCCTGCTAAAACAGACCAAACATAAATTTCAAACGGCTTTAACATTGTATCTCCCAGGCAGACAAGCACTGTTAGGTAATTAGAACATAACTATGTTTTACAATCCATTACCTTGTTTGCGGCATCAACAGTGGATCCCATGGTAGTACTAAGAAGTTAGTTCAAATATTACCTGTGAAAGAAAAATCCAAATCATTTTCAAATTTCATAAAATTTACCATAAATGGACCAAAAGGTGCAGATCTAAGTGCTTAGTACATAGAAGAAGTAGGTAAAGTTAGATCCCAAGGGAACAAAAAGTTTAGATTTTTTAAAGGAGCTACAAGACAGAAAGATCAAGTGATATAAGCACACAGACAAATGCTGACGCAACACAAGTAGAAACCAGATCTAACAGAACAAAAAAAAAGATGAGATCTTTGGATCAGTTCAATCGTAAAAATGTACTCTTTCCCCGAATTTACGTAACGATGAAACCTCTTTGATTAAATCTAGAAGAGTGGCTGAAGCGCAGGTCTAAATGCTAAGCATGTAGATCAGATGAAATGGACAAAGGGAACAGATTTCATCAATTTTATTCACAATTTCTTCAGAAGAATCCAAAGATAAAAAGAAAACGATACCGAGAAGTGGAATTAAACAGATGAATATCAAGGATCTAATAAAGGTGAAGACTTTGGACGAAATGTATGATCGAGCATTAGTGGAGAACGACATGAATGAAAGACACGAACCATTCGTTACACATGTTTTTTTTTCTTGAAATTCACAGGTAATTTTCAGACAATAATCTAAGAAACTGTGTAATAATAAAGCGAACCTGAAGCAAAGGGAACACGGAGAGATTTGATTCAACGCTGAAAATTGAGAAATGAGGAAGGAGAAGCAAAGCTATATAAATAGTAGCACACATTTATATATATTTAAAACAAAAAATACATTCCTTTAAATTATTTTTTTAATTACCGACTTCTAGTTTCCGTCCAAGTGTCCTTGTCCATTAAAACTTGTTTTTCCGTCGGCAGTCTATTTAATAATTTTAAGGGAAATTGGGTGTATTAGCTATGAAAAAAACAAAATTAACAATCTAGCTAAAATCTCATTCTCTCTTCCCCCTCTTTCTTCCTATCTCTTTCTACTCTCTCTCTTACAAAACTAATTTTATTTTTGTTTGTGGCTATTTCACAAATAACCCCTAATTTTAATACTGCTGTTAATACAGTACTATTTAAACTGACAAAAATAATTTAAACAAAAAAAACTGACAACATACATATATTAGAAAATGACATTATTTGTGTAATCGCGTTTTGTAAGATTAAGTAGCAGCGGTTTTAATAATATAAACGATGCAAAATTAAAGTATGGTATAGTTCAACTGTGATTCTTGCAGTTTACAGGATAAATGCAAAATTGATAGAAAAATAATATGATTAATACAAAATAATATTGTTTTGATAAAAATAATAATGTAAAATAAATGGATTAATATTTTTAGAAATTAATTTGTTTTTCTTAATGCTAATGTGACAATATTTTTTATAATGGTTAATATTAAAACTAATTTGAAATATTTTTAATTTAAATATTTATATCTTGTTAATAAATTTAACTAATAAATGTATTTTGAAATAAAATAGAAATTAAAAATATTGCAAATATTTTAATATTGTTACTTAAATCATTTGAAATAAAATTGATATATGATGAACAATCAATATTCTAGAAATATAACCAATCGAATTAATTTGAATATCAGAAAAATATAAATGTATATATTATCTTATAAATATTTTTTTATTTATTTCCTAATTAAATAAAACCAATATTTTTAGTTATATAAACCATATTTTGAATACTTAGATATTTTCATTCGCATTATAATATACATATATATATGAAAAAATATTTTATAATATATGACAAATTTTCAGTTATTTTTTTTAAAAAATTATCCGGATATTTACACAATTTAATAGTATAATTGGGGAGTATAAAATTGTAAGAATTTATTTCAATGCAATGTTTTACTTATAGCATGTTGTTATTAAACTTTATTATATAAAGTTGAATTTTCTCTCTCATGGTGATGATATGTCACTAAATAGGATGAGTAGAAAATGACACATGATATGTAAAATTATTATTACACAAAAATAATGTTTAATATTAACAAAAGTTTACTTTATGTGAATACATTTATCAATTCTTTTTAAGAACAAAAAATTTTGAGATAAAAAAATATATTCAAAATCATAGTTTCCATGAATTCAAATTGAATTCAAATAAATGTATAAGGCTCAAAATAATCGATAATTTATATTATTAGATATTTTCTTTTATCAACATTAACAAATGTTAGAAATTACTTATATAATAAAATAAAAATAGAAATAGTCAAATTTAATGTTATTAATAAAATAAAAAAAATATAAATAGTCAAATTTAATGTTATTCTTATTTTCAATAAAATAAGAAAAATCAGATACTCACTAAATTTGAATATATATTTTATGTGTGTATAACTTGATTTTTAATAGTAGCACATTAGGAATTAATATGCATTAAATATACATGAAAAATAAGAATACAAACTAAATCAAAAAGAATAAATACATCAAACAAATACAAAGATTCTCACATAAATTGACTGAAAATAATCCATAATTTATATTATTAGATATTTTATTTTATCAACATTGTCAAATGTTAGAAATTACTTATATAATAAAATAAAAATATAAATAATGATATTTAATCTTATTCTTATTTGCAATAAATTAAGAAAAATCAGATACTCACTAAATTTGAATATATATATTCTTATGTGTGTATATCACTAGATTTTTAATAGTAACACATTAGGAAATAATATGCATTAAATATACAGGCAGAATCAGAATACAAACTAAATCAAAAGGTATAAACATATCAAACAAATACAAAGATTTTCACATAAATTATATTGTATGTTGTTGTTAAAAATGATATTGTGTACACGCTAAATTTATATCAATTACTGCGTATAAAAATAATCAGACACATAAAAATAACTATGTGCTTTTATGAAAAACAAACAAAATATAAGATATTATAATACTAAAAATAATATAATTTTTCAAAATATGTTTGATAGTAGTTAAAAATAAAAATGTACAAAATATAAACAGACATCAAATTTTGATAGAGATGGTGAAATGTCTAAGTGAACATGTCATTCATTTTATTACTAGATGATAATCCGCGCAATGCGCGGAGTGAGCTTTTTAAAATATGTTGTATTTAAATATATATTTTGCTATCAATAAATTTTTTACATTTGATTATGAATATGTATTTGGGTACTATTTGGTTCGGTTAGATTTTGTTTGGTTTAAATCTTTGCGGTTTGGTTTGAATCTTTGCAGGTTCGGATAACCCATCTAAATTTTTTTAAAAAGATTAACATTCATATGTACTTTAAATTTTTCTAAATCTAAAAGTAAATATAATATATAACATATAAATTTGAAAAATGAATGCCAAATACTTAAACTTAACATAAAATTGTTTATCTTAAATATTTGGATAAAAAATCAATTAATATTTCAAATATTTTTGGTATTTGGAGTATAATTTAGCTATTTTAAAAATGTAAATTTAACTATTTTATATATTTCTAAGTATTTTGGAAAAATTTTAAAAAATATCATGTATTTTGTATATTCTTAGCTGTTAAATTTAAATATAATTAATATATTTAAGTATATAAATCTGGTTCGAGTACATTCGGATACCCGAGATATTTTGATTCAATTTTGGTTCTCTTGATACCAAAATTTCGAATCCGTTTGGATATCTAACCAATTTTGGTTGAAAATTTGTACTACTTTTTGTATTAGATTTGGTTCGGTTTTCTTGATTCAGATTTTTTGTCCAACCATATATTTTCTATTGTAACAAAAATTTAAATGAAATGGATGATGGTTCATATTAATTTTGGGTATGCAATAATTTTTGAACAAAAAACACTCTATTATGCGCGATCAATTTGGTTAGAAAATGATTGGCTGAATTAGAAAACGTTACCATTGATCACAAAATTTTTAATGTGAGATTTTTACCATTTTTAGTAATTTATGATCATTTAAAAAAATTTCAAAATATAACATATAAGAAAAAATCTAATTTTTTTATTATATGACTTATGTGATTGTTTAGTTTCTTTTAGTAAAATAAAATTAAAATAAAAAGTAAAGAGGATACAAAATTGTTATCAAATCTTTATTATTCATGAACATTAATTGTGGTATATATGTTAATCATATTAAGTAATTCTGTAGCTTTTATCTAAGGAAAGAATATAAAATATTTTTTGTACACTACTAATTAAATATGATAGTTAGTATAATAAAAATATAACATATGTTTAGTTGGACCAACATATTTTTCTAAGAGTTATGAAAATAATTCTCATTGTAATACGTGGTTACCAAAAAATGGTATAATGCTCCCGGATTAATATATTGGAGATTTAAGCTACTAATCAAAAATATTATAGGTGAAATTTTTAAATATTTTATTAGTTTATAGTCGTTTTAAAAATTCAAAAAATAACATATATCAAAAAGCTACTTTTTGTTATATAGTTAATGTTATTGTTTAATTTATTTTCACAATATAAGTTTAACAAAAATAGTAGAGGCTATAAATTTTTTTATCAAATATTTATATTCGAATAATTAATTGTCATACATATATTATAACCATATTAGGTAATTCAGTAAATTTTATTTAAAGAAATAATGAATAACACTAATAACAGTTTTATGTTTAGTTTAATAAAAAGTATATTATATGTTTATGTAGACCAACATTTTTCTCTAGTAAATTTGAGAAGCATTCTCATGATGAAATGTGGCTACCAAACAATGTTGTAATGCTTCTCAATTAATGTATAGGGGATAGTCAAAATAAACACTAAATAACAATCAATTATCTTGAAACTAATACACACAAGATGAAGACAAAATAAATCTGAATATTAGCTTAACACTATCTTGCCTCATAATCTTTCACCTCATAACACCACTTCAGTGGCCGCTAAGATCTCACAGCTTTTTCCAATCAAATAAAATCGGAAAAAATAAAATAAAAAAGCGAAGGAAAATGAGAAAAGGTTGTTACGTTCAATATATCTAGCACAACGATGAGTATGTGTTTATCTCTTTTGGAAATAGTAATAAAAAGTAAATGGGAGTAAATATCTTTCCGCTTGATTAATAGTTTTTAAGAATAAGTTTGAGAAAAAATAGCACATAATACCATAGGCACCAGAATAGAACTTGCAAAAATACACAACTATATCACACCGATCCGTATAACATGTCCCAAACAAACATGAAATAAATCCTAAATACAGCCACCAAAACTTTCAAACAAATTAATAACTTCTAAATAATTATAATTAATACATTATTTTTATTGAAACCAAAAAATTGACATTACTTTTTTTGTTAAAAAAATAATCATTTAGCAAAAATATATAATATAATTAAAAAAATAAATTTATAATTATAATAAAAAAAATTATTACGGTTATAATAAAAAATAATAATTTAGTGAAAATATATAATATAATTAAAACAAATAAATTTATAATTATAATAAATAAAATTCATGAGAAAGAGGATAAATTAATTTACGCTATTAATCTTTATACATTTCATTAGACTTATGAAATAAAATACTGAATCTTATAGATTTTTGGTTCCCTTTTTACTACCAAATTTAAGGTTAACGTAGAATACAAAATGATTTAAAAATAATTAACAATTAATACATAATGAAAATAATTTAAAATCAATAACTAATAAG